GGAAATGGCAATGGTGTCAATGGAAATGGAAATGGTGCAAATGGTAATGGAGTATATGTTAATGGAAATGGTGCAAATGGCAATGGGGTATATACTAATGGAAACGGTGTGAACGGAGGATATCAGAACGGAAATGGAGTGACCGTGTACGCCAATGGCGTTGTGGATCCCTTCCGAGCTCTGGCCGATGCCATTGGCGGCGGAGGCGTCCCAGGTGTGGACTACCCCATCCTGGCCTTCGTCCCCGCCACCGGCTTCTCCTGCAACGGCCAACTGCCTGGATATTACGCCGACACTGCTCCCGAGGCCGGCTGCCAGGTGAGTGCCAGGTCCTGTCTAAAAGAAAATTTAATTCAGGGGAAACGAGATCAATAGAAAGGGATCATTCCAATACGGTTTTCTAGTTTAGGTTTCACTACTTGAGTAAAGTGTTTGCAAGTGCATGTACAAAGCTGGAATAGAGTAGGGCGTGGCTTAAACAGAGCCACAGTGTATTAATTTGATTCAATTCACTAAGAATTTTTCATCGAAAGTTGCAATGTAGATATTGAGGTGAGGATGAAATAGTAGAATTTTATTTTTCAAATACTTTGGTAGATTCTAAAGTATTCCTAAACGTATTTCTTGATTCATATTACCATCAACATCCACATGTATTTCAGTGAAATTTCCATACATTTTGTGTTTGTGTTTGAGGTCAATGGACCTCATTGTTTTCCATTAATCTACCTGCCTCTATCCATGAAACAATTCTAAGTCAAATTGACGTATTTCAGGTGTTCCACATCTGTCAGGCAGGAGGCAGGATCGACTCGTTCCTTTGTCCCAACGGCACAGTGTTTAATCAGCAATACTTCGTGTGCGATTGGTGGTACAACTTTGACTGTTCCACGGCTGAACAGTTCTACGGATTGAATGCTGAGATTGGTAATATCAATGGAAATGGTTACAGTAATGGCAATGGTAACGGAAATGGATATACCAACGGCAACGGTAATGGTAACGAAATGGATATACGCGGAAATGGATATACCAACGGTAATGGTAACGGAAATGGATATGGATATACAACGGTAATGGTAACGGCAACGGTGGATATGGAAATGGATACACCAACGGCAACGGTAATGGTGGAAATGGATACACCAACGGCAAATGGTAACGGAAATGGATGGGTAATGGTAATGGATATACCAACGGCAACGGTATAACGGAAATGGCAACGGCGGAAATATACCAACGGCAACGGAATGGATATACCAACGGCAACGGTAATGGTAACGGAAATGGATACACCAACGGCAACGGCAACGGCTGGAGCCACCGGCACCGGGTAACGGAATGGGTGGAAATAAACGGCAACGGGGAATGGGGCAAAAATGGATACACCAACGGGGGTAATGGTGGCCCAACACCATGGTAACGGAAATGGATACACCAACGGCAACGCTGGCATGGGGCCAATGGCAACGGTAATGGTAACGGAAATGGATACACCAACGGCAACGGAATGGTAACGGAAATGGCAATGGGAATGGTGTTATCAACGGAACGGTAATGGTAATGGGAACGGTAATGGATATTACTATGGTGCCCCTAATGGTAACGGGAATGGCAATGGTGGAGCGACAAACGGTAATGGCATTAATGGACTCTATCAGACGCCGAGCTTGTAAACGACGAACTGTATTTCGTTTCTTTCTTTCGCTTTCTATTTTTTGCGAATGTAACAAAGAAAACGAGTAGGTTTAAGGGGAAGACTTTTATGTAATATATTTCAAGCCTTAACGGTTCTGATCGTAGTCATTTGGAGAATCCTAGGCCATAAAAAGTGAAACATTTGTCTTGATTAAATTTTGATGTATTTATTCTTTCGTTGAAATCAACTGTAAAGTGTCTGAATTGGTTGCAACTTCTTTTCCAATTGTTCCGCATCATTCTATTTTCTGTATAAAAATGTTTCACTTTCAGTGGTTTATGAAATTTGTACAAGTGTGCCATAATCTTTGTAATGTAATGGCTTATATGTTTAACGCTTCAAATATATATAATGTATTGCATTTCAAAAGTAAAGTTTATTAATCAAAGTTTATTAGTTGATTTTTATATCACATTTACCGAGAAAAAATCCTAGCATTTGATGGGTATCAGTGGCAACGGTAACTTGTACGTGTGTATCAAAATGTTTCATTTTTAGTGGTTAATCAAATTTGTATACGTACCATAATCTTTGTAATGTAATAACTTATATGTTACACCTTTATATATATAGCGTATTACATTTCAAAAATAAAGTTTATTTGCAATAAATTGGTTGTAATATCACTTTTACTGAAAAAATGAAGTTTCCCAGCATTTGATTGAGCGGTAACAGTAATGGTAACGGAAATGAGTGAGTGTACACACACACACACATATATACATATCTATATGTATGTATTCATGTGTGTTCGTCTTTGTTAGTACTTACATAGAGGTTGTTTCAAATGGAAGCTTTCACATCTTTCGCTCAGTGACATCCAGGCTTGTATGATACCACAGAATGCCTCCATAAACCACCATACTATGTCACCATATGCAACACCCCATAATGTCACCACACACACTATCACCGTACACACCATCACCACATCATACCACCACAGATCACCATACCATATTACCACGCACATCACACAGTGACACCACACACCACACCACCGTCCGCTCACTTGAGGCGGACACCAGTGTCTGGCCTGTTTCACACGAGGAAACAACTAGTGTCTGCCACCGGTGTCGGACACTAGTTGCCTCGTGTGAAAGAGGCCTGAATCAAGGAGGATTCCACCAATCTGCGGGCGTGGACATCATCGGAAGGAAAGATATACGCAGCTGACCAATCCATCTGATGTCCCGTGTCCCACTGATGGCAGAGGAGTGCATTGTTGTTGTCCCCGTATTTATGTTGAGACTGACGCTTAGTGAGACTCACGGCTGTCTCACTAAAGTAATATCTATTACAGGAGACACAGGGAATAGCATAGGTGCTTACCTTGGAGGTACAGTGTTTAGTTGGCATTGGATAAGCCTGCAGTTAAGAGGGCGACGGAGAGAATAGATCTCAGTGTAGGGGAGGATGACATCAGGCAAATGAAGAGTCGTGATAAAAGGTACGCCTTGCCCTGGATAACGCTACGTCGAGACCATGACGAGAGTAGTACAATTACAGGAGCGACATATTATATTGCTCTTTCTATCCAGGTACTGGAGATCACGGATGTGGAGGACACGTTTGGAGTTCATCTATGTCAGGAAATCTGATAACAAGGCTGTGTCATGAGGAAGTTATCAAGCTGAACGCTAGTGAACAGAGTCAAGATCAAAACTCAGAATGGCGAAGGGGAGCATGAGAGGTGTCAAGAGGAGGGAGACACTGGGCAGGCCAGGATGCAAGGTGCGTCACAGATCCCCGGGAGGAGATGCTGGGGTATGGACGCATGCATACAAAATAAACACACATACACACATATATTTACACTCACGTACATATCTATTTTATATGTACATATGTAACTCTATATATGTACACACACATACACTAACACACAAACATTAATATATATATATATATATATATATATATATATATATATATATATATATATATATATATATGTATATATGTATGTATGTATGTATATACATGTTTATATATACACACGTGTGTATGTAAAGATATATAAATGAACTGGTGGACGTTGGGCTCCACAACCTGCCGTGGTAGAGCGGCCGTCTTGCATTCACGTGCATTGGTGCCGTGGGATCGAATCCCGTTCGGAGAAGTTATAATGTTCATGATAAAAATGCGGTAATGCATTATTCCATCTTTCATATATATATATATATATATATATATATATATATATATATATATATATATATATATATATATATATGTATATATGTATATATATGTATATATATATACATATATATTCATATACACACACACACACACACACACACACACACACACACAACACACACACACACACACACACACACTATATAATTACACACACACACACACACACACACACACACACACACACACACACATATATATATATATATATAATATATTATATATATTATTTATTATATTATTATTATTATTATTATTATTATTATTATTTATATTAAGCTATATAATGAGCCACACTGAAAAAATCGAGATTTATACCACCAAAGGTGTCAGTGCAGGTCAAGATACAGCTAAGAAAGATTAAATAAAAGAAAGTCAGCTAATTACGTAAGAAAAACATGTTAGCTAACGTTTTAAATTTATCAAGAGTCGAAGAAGTTACAATCTCTGAAGGCAATCTATTCTAAAGTCTACAAATAGCAGTAAAAAAAACATCTAGAAAACTGACTTGTAGACGATCGACTTACATCAAATGTCATTGAATTGAGGGCCATAGAACTTCTGGTAATTCTTGCAGGTTGATAAAAATCAGGTAAAAACTTATAGAGGGGATGTGAATTATCGGTTACAATCTTGTATAAAACTGAAAGAGCCCCAATAACTCTACGATGTCCAATGTCCAAATTTAAGTCAGACAGGAGAAATTTAATGGAATTAAAAGAACGATCAAGCAGTCTTAAGTGTGAGTCTGCAGCAGATAACCACGCAGAAAAACAATACTCAAAATGAGGCAGAATAAAAGAAAAGAAGCACCTACGTGTAATTGCCATCTTCATAGATTTTCTTGCACTTGCGAATGATGCCTAACTTTGATGAAATTGCCCGGGCAATATTCCTAATATGTAATTCAAATGTAAGCTTTGAATCAAAGGTTACACCTAAGAGCTTCAAGTTATCCACCGAAGTGATTAAGACTCCATTAATCAGCAGACTTGGATGCTGAGGCAACTGCGTTCGAGACCGACTCACAATCATTTCTTTAGACTTAGTAGGATTTCATTTCATGCCCCACCGAGAGCACCACAATTGAATCATC